ACGTTTCAATCAATATATTCGGCCTTCATATTACGACTAGATACAGTTACAATCTTGCTATTCTATAGAAATTAATTTGTCGAAAGTCAATATATTATATACTCATGTATGCATTTTGTATAATATATGATATTAATTGCTTACTTGGATAAAGTAGTGTCATCTCTTTAGATTCCTGTGGCTTACTTATATTATGTTTGCGAATAAATAATTATGTTCACCATTATACTTCTCCAACAGTTTATATGTATTGTAGATTGATATTATTCCTGATGATAAAATATGGAAAAATAGGAGAATGGATATATATGGCATCATATTTCTAATTTAGAAAAACATGAAACCTAGAATATAAGTAGCAACTCAAAGGAGCACAATGCAATATTATATGGAAAAGAACATTCATATTTTAGTTACAAACCTTTTGTATATTTATATAGTTTCATATGCAGTAAACCTCTGGCCATTTGTAGTCGATGGAGTTTCAGCCATGATATTTTTCTTATTCAGCATCAAAATATAAGAGGCCATACATTTTATGAGCTAAACCATCAGCATCTAAAATATGAATGTATTTTCCATATAATATTGGACCATGGTCATTTGATTGCTTATATTTTGAATTTTATTGACATACAGAAAAAAAAATATGATTGGGACTGTCATAAATCTGTACATATTGTAAACAATATAATATCTATGATATTTGGAATGGCAAGTTTCATGTTACATAGATATGAGATAGAATGAGAAATATTTACCTCTGACAAATAACAAAGCTTTCATTGAGAACCATTTTCAATATATCCAAGGGAAACATTTGTGCGTGACATATTAGTATATTGATTGAAATTGGTCAAAATAATTGGATGTTCTGTCATATTTCTTCTGTCAACTGAGTGCTCCAAGTCAAATATATAAAATAATTCATTTTGGTCAAAGAAATTGTCTCTAGTCATTTTGGGAACATTTGAAGCCACATAGAATTTCAAGGCAAAATAATATTGAGTTTCTCATGGAAGAAGGACATTGTTTTAACCAGCATTATTTATACATGTAGTTGGCATTTGGTGCTCAGCTTCAGTATTTGACATCTGTAACACATTGTTACACTTTTATACAGTAACTGCAACCATGTTGTTACATTTATCATGTGTTAATTAACGCCTTGTCTTCAACTGCTCTGTAAATTATTGCCAAACCCAGGGTCAGTAAGGGAAGTATATAATATGGTACCAGCAACTTGTAACAGGACAATTCAAGCGGTTGCTACAACTGTATTGAACACAAATTGGATGTAACCTATATATTAAGACAGAAAATGTTCAGTATAAGTATTGAACTATTGATCTTAGTTGATGTGTTAAGCTAGCAATTGCCACTAGTAAGGGTAACTTAAGAGAAAAATAATAACTGCTGATATTCTATCCCAAAATAGAATGCTATGCCAAATTATACTATTTCCCTTAGGAGTATCAAGACTGTTCCATGTCGGGTAAAATCTGTAGTTATTTGTAGATTTCAGAACGATTTTCAGTTAGGCATTAACAGAATTAAGAAAATCTAAAGAAAATTCTATTTTTTTTTTATATTGTTATTTTATTTATTTTGTAAATCAATTCACAAAATTGCCTAATAATTTGTGCAACTTTAAACAAATTAGACATATACTTTACTTTATATGAAAACCGATGATATAAAACATGTTCCTGTATTTACAATTAATCCAAAGTCATGATCTAATATAACTTTTTATGAATTTTTGATGATAACTAACTAAAAATGTGGTGAAATCAATTAAAAACAATTTATTTAATCCATCCATGTGTAATCCTATACTGTACTTTCCAATGATATATTGGTTAACACTGCATCATTAGAAAGTGTGATGTTGTTCGATATTGTCAATTGAATACATAATAATCAATCAGCTATTGCTACTATAAAGGTTACAGCTATAAGATAAGATGCCTACAACACTGAACATTGCAAATATACCCTAGGGTATCAGGGCAGATGAAACTTTATGGAAATTGACTGTGGCATTTAGACATATCATGTCTATTAGCTCTGATTGCTCTGCTGTTTGTCGCTCTTGCACATCAAGGGGGTATATCAGTCCAGGAAGAAGAACGCTTAGGCACTTGATTTCAAGTCTAAGCCAAGGAAGTAAAGCTCATTCATTATATTTTATACATTACACTTTACGAAACTAGACTCTACCAATACTCGCTGATAGACTATAATGCCAAGTAATATAAAGTGAGCACTCGCTTATACTCGCCTATACTCACCTTAAGATATTCTTCAAGGTTTATTATAACTGAAGAAATATACTGGTATAAAAGTATAAGGTTGTATAGTTCATTCATTATGTTAGGGTATGAAGAACAGTGGTATGGCCCTTGCATCTCCATTATCTTCTAGGATGTACCTTGTGTTATAGAAATACCTTGAAATGCCCTTAGCTTGTCCTTATCAATACCATGTTAAAATAGACAGGCCTTTACAAGTGTTTTATGAACCTCTATGTAATGTATTACTGAATCTGTTATCCCAGAGGTATATTTTTATCATCATTTTGAAATATTTGTACTTTCCAGAACACAAATATCTTTATTAATAGGTAAAGCATCTGATTTCTAGGAAGGCTTGATTCTTGCGCCTACACAGGGTTTAATCTAAATATAACATCATATGGTATCTGGCTGTGCTTTATTCAGTACATGTATGATAATTAATTACCACATAGATCTGGGGGATCTCTGATTCATTCTTATATTATATGTTTCATTTCTCTGGCTTGTACATTTTGATCCTCTAATTTATCACGTGCAGGTTACTTTGGTGATTGGACTGAATATTTAGTATAGACTTAGATAATATTATGTAATATATTAGTTGTATTTTGTGTTTTATTCGTGATCCTGACATGACCACCCTATCCATTCCATTATACTGGGTTAATTGACATTACCACAGAATATAACTGATCGTTTCAGTAAAAAATGGTTACAGGGTCTTCATCCAAGGCTATGAAATATTGGGCTATAGAGATGATTAAATCCAACAGTACATGTACATTATAATGTAGCTCCTAAACCTGAATGATGGTGTATATTTGTTATTGTGACACTCTAAGCCAGTTCATAAAGCTACTAATCCCAATAGACTATTTGATATATTGGGGCAAAATGTTATATTCTCCTGGAGAACAGGAGAAAAGAAAGTCATATTCTGTATGGTTTGATATTTCATCTATATACAGTACTCATTAAATTAGAGATATTTTTTAATATAGCCTATGTTTTATCAGATGGTTCATTCAGAAAATGCTGAGCTTGCATAAACACCTTCAAAAATGCACATGTTAATGATTCAGAAAAAATATTTAGAAGTAAAATACAATATTTTGTGTGTTTAACTGCTGCAGATAAAAATTGGTAAGAAAAAATCAAATGTTATTCTTTTTTGATATGTGAGCTGGATTTTGATTAAAGAAGAACATGTAATGCTCCATTTATGTGTAGAAATGTCTCTACTTAGCTTCCTGCTCACTATACTTGGCCAAAGAAATTAATATTATGATAGAGGATTTCCCTTGTAATTTTACATGTAACTTCAAAAATAAATACAAGTTCAATCACTCTGTTGACTCTTGGGATAAATAGTTGCAAATGGTTTTAAGGTTGTGGTTCAAATTTTAAGTTCAGAGAAGGGGGAGTAGGTAACAAGATCATGTTTTTTATATCACCATCGCTAAAAGTGGTGACATATTGTTAAAGTCTACAACTTTTTGTGGATGGTGTTCGACAGTTGGCATTTGTAACAAATGGCCAGTTGTGACATTTTGCATGATACTGCCTTATTTGTTTTCCTTATGACTGGTATACTCTTTGATGTTTTTTTTCTTGTTGTGTTATGTAACCATTTTTGGTACTTCAGTCAAAAAATGGTGCTTTATATACGGTATAGCATGTGGAATTCCAGGGTTTTATTGCAGTAGCTGACTCCACTAAATAGAAAGTTACAGAATTCAGGGGTTTACCTGAAAATCAAGATGAGGGGGAACCACAAAGTTACATATTGTTGGAGCAAATTGAGCACCATGCATGTTGTATTGTAAAAGTACTGAGTGCTGAATAGACTAAATGGGTGCTGTACTTTACCCATTTTGACCACTTTCTTATATTATACCTGGTACATATAAATGTACATGCCTATTTCTGATATGAAACCACTATTGCAAATGTATAGTGCTGTGAATGCTACCATTTTTATATTTGTATATATGTATGTATTTGTGCTTTTATATAGTTGATGTTGTCTAAAGAAAGCGGAAAAGAGAGATCCCTGACCTAATAATGATTTATTTGTAGCTGCTAGTTTAGATCCCAAAAGTTAATATTTTGGACCCTGGTGCTTCGATAGGCAGTTTTTGTATGTGATCATGAATAACATTCATAAACAGGCATGGGAACACAGTTCTTAGTACTAATTAATAGATATTTCTCTAGAATCATTGCTTGAATTCTTGGCATTTTTGGCATTTCATTTGAAATCATTCAATATTTTTTCTTAGCATTTGTCATATCCACTTTTGAATTTTATTTCATTTGAGTTGCTCCCATGCTTGTACTTTTGTGTTAATTTACATCTACTCTTCACGAATGAATTCATGCAGACTATGGATTCGGGATTTCTCAAGATTTTTGGCATATCTTACTTTTGGTAAAAGTCAAGTTATTAAAGCATATCAATGAAACTTGGATAATAATGCATTTTTTAGAGACTGAATTTCATATGAAGCCCATCTGAGATTTGATATATCAGAGCAAAAGATGAGATGCAGATATCAGTAGGACATGCCAATATCTTATCTTTTATAGTAATCCGTTGCTGTAACTCAAGTGATACATTATTGGTTACTATACAACCCCAGTTCATTGTGCCTATCATCCAGTGGTTCTTATTTTTCTGCTTTCTTTCTGTAACTATAGAGTGCCCTGTGGTTTGCTGATCTCTACATTTGGTATTCCACCTACCGCCCCCTACACTACCAACAAGACAGTCATGGCTGATAGGGACGAGGTAAGAGGCGACATCTATAGATGTAGCGTAAAGTTGCACATATGTACACTACTAGTACACACCCACATCTTCGGAATGCTAGTTGTTTCTTTTATCAGTGTTTGGGCACATGTAGTAGTTTCATTGTATTTTAGTAAAATTTTTCCATATTTTGCACAATTTTTCAAATCATTATTCTTCTAGTTGCAATAGTACATAGCTTTCTATTAAACTATTATTCCTGTAATACATTTGTGCAACTTTAGTGCTGACTCATATACTCTCATAGTACTATAAACTATATATATGTCCTTTACTTATGTACTCGTATCACGAAAATATATTAGAAATATTGCATAGAAAAATTGAATAATAATAGTTGCCTGATGTTTTAGATCAGCTGAACAATAAGCAATGAGTGTATATTCATTGATTGGTTAGACTGTATGTTAAATTAATATAAAGAATCATTGAGTATATATCTACCATATGTCATATTAACTCAGGAACTAATGCAGCAATGTTAAATGCTTGTAATATTCAGGATTGGGAAAACCCGAATAGAAAACTTATGGTTATAAAATATAATGACATGTAAAAATAAAGAAAATGCTTTTGCTGATTATAAGAAAAAACGGTTCCATTGTTGATAGATTTTTTTTAACAACTTTATTGCCAAGATGTGTTAACTTTAAGTTTTTATTGGAAGGGAAATACTTTTGTTTATTTTGTAAAAGAAATAATTCATTATCCACAGTGTAACAGCATGTACTCATGTATGAAATTCTGCTCATCTGATTGTGAAATAATATTCCATCTTCATATCTATAAATGTACTGGTATAATGCAAATGATCTTTAGTTTATTTGTTTTCATGATTTAAAATTTTATTTGGTGTTAGTCTGTTGTTGGCAGATTGTAATTTAAGTTTATTTTAAGTTTATGTTAATATATTATTTCACATTAATATTTTACATTAATGTGTATATGTATAAATCGATGGAAATGATAGATTGCATATTTAAGTCTAATATATTAAAAAGAAATATTATGAGTATTTTTACTTTTTCAGAACTATTATATTATCTTAAAATAAACAATGTATATCAATTGTAAAAGAGAAGACCATTTTTTTAAAATCATCTTTAACAACTTTGAAAAAATGACATTTTCAAGTTCATCTTCAACTTAAAACTCCCTCTTACTTTTTATTAAATTGTTTTTTTGAGTTGTCATAATTAAACTATTTATTATTATATACAACTATTTCCTTGCCATAAAACTGTTTTAAAACTGAGTGACATATTGATACAGATTTTGTTTTTTATACCCTAGTTTTTAGCTCATATGAGTGAGCTATTGTTATTGCAAAAACAAAACTCAAAACTCCAAAACTAACTTGAAACATAACTTGAAATTGCACAGGTATCTTAATTTTTGATCAAAAATGTCTACATGTTTATGGCCACAAAATATGTAAAAGTTAGTAGATTTAGTGAAAGATTATTCTGATCTTTGGTTTGTTTTACTTGCCTCTTGGATAAATGAATATTTATTGTTGAGGGGATTTCATTATAATTTTCATGGAAAGGAACTTCAGTGAGCCATGAGACTAAAAACAATTAAAGAACATATATTTGATTAATGATCCATGCTACATGACCCTTGAGAATTGAATAATCTGTTGATCATCATTGTTTTTAATCATAATCATCTTCAAAAACTAAATGATTATTGTCAGATTCATTATTTCTGTGTAAAGCATGCAAAATCATCTTTAGTCACCATTGCTATTTCTTTGTTTCCACATAAAAAAAGAAAAAAATTACATGTATATTCTGAGTTTATTTATAGCTTGCCTAATCAAATCATATTTAATTGGATTCATATGTTAGCCTTATGTCTAACATAGTTAACGTATCAGGTCTACAATAGTACAATAACGTCATTCCGAAGGGTAATATAGTGAAATAATGGACTAAAACCCCTAGAACTGGCCCGGCAAGGTGGTAATAATACATATTTTAGTAGGTTTGCTGTACCACATGTTTAACTTAAAGAATCACAGATAAAGGGTAACAAAATGGCACAGATATATTACCTCACAAATGACCATCTTATCAAAAAGTGAAGTTATTTAAGTTTCCCGATATCCATCTACATTAATAAACACAATGATTTGAAATATTAGAAAATCTAGATTTCCTGATATAAATAACAAACTTGAAAATATTTATGCTAGATCTGATTCTACCTTTAAATGATGATTAATTTCACTTTGGGTCTTAATCACAAAATGTCATCCCTCAACTCATGAATATTGGCAAGTAATACTCTCAATGAATTTTGATGAACTATTGGCACCTCTGGGTGTTGTAAACATCGCATGGGATTATAGTGGATGCTTGAAGGGGACATGCTGATGAATTTGGTCAGGAAAATGGTGGTAATAAATATCAAATTCTTATTCTTAAGAATACCACAGAATAGAGATTAGAAAATATTCTTTGTGGTGCTGTAAGGCACACTTCTAAATGAGGCCCAATATCTACATACGTACAAGACATTTTTTTTTCACATACCAATGAATTTAATTATTTTAGTTTCAATAACATGGTAATTAATGATTTTGAAGCCAGAGCCACTGGAGTATGACTCACTTAACTTTTGACATTCAGTCATGCTTTCTACCTCAGTTGAGAAAACTGACAAATCCACAAATTGTGTTTGTTAAAATAATTAAGTGACCATTTGTTGATGAACAGATTACACTATATCCACTTTTCATACATTGAGTGGAAATTGGGCCATTCTTGAATAAAACAGATAGATATTGAAATTAAAACCCAAGTTGAGAATATTAAATCTCAACATATTTTATAACACTTTCAAGTGCCAGTGTTGTTTCAATTCTTGACTTGGTTACAAATCCAAATGTTAATTATAGCCATAGGCATCATTTCTTGAGCAATAACAAAATGTGTTGCAGTATCCAGAAATAATAGATAAACTTGTCTAGTTTTTAAATAATATCTGAAAAAGTGTTCATCGAGTGTTTCATGTTGTTATGTGGTTGTTTACCTGTAGGCCTAAAATTAACTTTTCAAAAAAAGTATATTCACCCTCATAATCAAAGCGCAATAAAAATGTGTTGAAATTCCATGATGAGGTTTAATTTAAATCAATCAAAATTATGCATCTTTTTACTTTAAAGCACAGTTGTCCTTGTCTCTCCTTCGATCTCTCTGTCTGGACAACTCTGCCTAGACCATTCAACCTTGGGTGATCTTTACTTTACTTGGTCAACATATCAAGTGGTTCAATGGGTATTTAACAAAGGTCAGAGGTCAAAGTCATTCTAAGAACAATGTCAACATCTTGACAACACATTATTAGGTAACCTGAGGTCAAGGCTTTGGGTCAAAGTCATTCCAAGGTCAAAGTTTGGCTCTTTTCCACACGAATGGGTAGATTGCTAGTCGATATAAAGTAAAATAGTCATTTTTCAAAAGTGTAATAACACAAAAATGATATGACCTAAAACTGAACACTCATCAAATCATTGCTCCTATGCTATAGCATGGAGGCACATATCGCCAGTAAACATCTACCTTAGTTGAAGATATGTAACCAGTTTTTGCTAAAGATGGGCAAATTTGATAAGTGTTGATATTTTCAGGAGAAGCGCCGGATGCATATAGAGATGCAGGACATGGTCGATGGGCGACCGGCCAATTATGGCATCAGTGTTCGAGAATTACGTGACCTCATGGAAGTTCGCAGTCACGAAGGTTACAACAAACTGCAAACAGATCACGGCGGAGTGTTAGAATTGTGTAAAAAATTATACACCTCACCTAATGAAGGTAAGTCCTCCCCACAATGCCCTGTTTTTTTGTTATTTTATTATTGTTGAATATTTACTCTTGCTTTTATAATAACACTTGGACTATAGAACACCAACGTGGAATTATGCATAAAACTACAAACTCAAATCATTATTACCGTAATTGTCATATATTTTGGCCCATGGGTGGGTGATAATGGAGTACTTACTCTAAGATTTGGTAAAAGTTTGGGGGCTCTTCTGGAGAGTTTTTCAATGACGTTTAGTTAGATTCTTGGTTCATATTAGCAATCTTTATCGTAAACTCTCCAATAACAATCAATATCATTATTATTATGAAAATATGCTGTTACTTCTATCTGATGTCGCAAATAAGCCATATCTAGCATGAAAAATTTCCATTTGTGAAATTCCCAGCGATTTTTGACTTATGATTAGAATGATCTGAAAGAGGTCTTTCGAATTTTTGGGCTCCAGGTACTGATTACCGAGAATATGGTATTCATAAATTATGATTGTATTTTTCTTAGCTATGATAGTGTGATAATTGACCTATGATTCATAATACATAGTAATATGTGTAAAAATAAACTTGGTTCAAATTTGATTAATTGGATGGTATTTCATCTTCAGTTCAAATTTCTTAATCAGTCAGAATGGAAATCTGAAAGAGCAGATAATATAATCTTTTTTCAAATGTCAAAAGGTAATAATTAGCAAGATCAGTTTTCTGTGATATCTTTAATAAGGGATAAGTTAAAAATATCTGGGTTTTTATTTCATTTCAAAAGTGATAATGTTAAGTTTTGAATGAAATAAAAACAAGAGTGCTGATATGTCAATTCATTAATATAAGCTTTATGAGAGATGTTTTCTGGCATAAGGTGTGGCATATATGAGCCTCGCCACAGGAAAACCGGTCTTATCGCAAAAATTTCAATTGTGCTACAGAGCCAAAAATGTGCCCAAGATTAAGAGGAAAATGTAATAAATTAAAATCAGTCTTTTTGGTCTATACCTGCAAGGAAAGATTGTTAAGACACAAGCCATTGCTCATTTGAACGTCTCTTCATGCTTTTTAAGAAAAGTAAAAAATCAAAACATTGGAAAAATCTGTGATAAGACCCCCTTTCCTGTGGCCTGGCTCATATGTGGAATAGATAAACGGATGCAGGCAAAAAATTTAATTCATATGTAGCAAAAGCGTAAACAAACGTATGTGGAGGAAAATACAAATGTGGAAGAAAATGCAAATGTGGAAAAAAATAAAAATTATGCAATCGCATTTCAGCAAAAATTGAAAATCCATATATCAAGTAAATGAAAGCTTTCTTGAATTGCATAACCCTATCTCACCACATTTACCACCATTTCCGATATGGGCAATTTTCTATCTTAAATTTGATTGCTTGAGAAATATGTAAGCTGCACAAAAATGTACACTGACTAATAAATTAAGCAGCGTTTCTAGAAATTAGAAATTATGCAAAATTTAGACGTGTTGCACAGATACATCATTTTGGATCTGTGATAGATGCAAAGTATATTCTCAAGATAATAAAATTAATATTTATCAATGAATGTTTCGCAAAAAACAGGAGGCTCAATGTTAATCAAAAAATAATCAAAATGCATGAATGCGATGGATCCAAATGTTTCCTTCGGGAGATTTCATGTCTCCTATTGTTGTTTAACAGCACTGTTTCTGTGAGCTGTATGTGGCTATGTGCTATGTAATTATCAGACCCTCACTTCATTCATGGCAAACTGCTGTTATCAACATAATTATTATTAGGTAGAAGACCACTTAATATGGACATTGGTATTGAGCTTGTTTGGATCTGTTTTGTGGCATTCTAAATATGGTGAATTGATCAAGACATCCGGGTCTACACTACCATTGCTTGCGGAATTCTTGTTCTATTGGAGTAACACGTAGCAAACATATCGCAATTATAAATAAATACAATTTTATTAATTATCAAGACCATTAAATATAATCTTTGCTTAACATCTCCTCTTATTAGGTTTCTCCATTAATGTAAATTTGTGTGTCATAGTATTATCACATATAGAAACCAACTGTTATACAGTACAGCGAAGATTTAAATGAGGTACATTCAGAGTATTGTCTGAGAATTCCCCATGGACCAATAAAGAATATTTCAAATTGGCTCATTCTTATACTTTCACTAATCAATAGCTTGCCTTGTGATGGTAATAGCCATTTTCAATGTATTCACTTTATAAACCTTGAACTGTGCATAATTCTGAATTATGTTGATCTAAGAAACGGTTGATAGAAACGGTTGATCTAAGAAATGGTTGATAGCATCATCTTTAAATGGTCTGATATTACTGCATTCACTTTAGAGCTAAAACATATCACAAGATTATAATTTTTCCCTCATTGAAAGAAATTTCTGTTTTGTCTGTAAATTTGTGTGTCATAGTATTATCACATATAGAAACCAACTGTTATACAGTACAGCGAAGATTTAAATGAGGTACATTCAGAGTATTGTCTGAGAATTCCCCATGGACCAATAAAGAATATTTCAAATTGGCTCATTCTTATACTTTCACTAATCAATAGCTTGCCTTGTGATGGTAATAGCCATTTTCAATGTATTCACTTTATAAACCTTGAACTGTGCATAATTCTGAATTATGTTGATCTAAGAAACGGTTGATAGAAACGGTTGATCTAAGAAATGGTTGATAGCATCATCTTTAAATGGTCTGATATTACTGCATTCACTTTAGAGCTAAAACATATCACAAGATTATAATTTTTCCCTCATTGAAAGAAATTTCTGTTTTGTCTGTAAAAACTCAGCTCTCCATCGAAAAGCTTACCTCGTCTTCCTTTGACTCAGGTCCTGAATGATTGATTCAATTCTGGTACAAAGTAGATTAAAGAGGAAGAGGTGAGCCTTCCAACGTAATGTAATATGTTATGTAATGTTGTCAGTCTGTTTTAATCATCTCTTATTAAATTTCAATGCGTTAAATTTAATTTCTAAGTCCCTGAACTTTAGATTCACTTGTGCTAGAAAAGAGATAAAAGAAGACAAGATAACTTTTCCAATGGTGTGCTATATTTGAACCTTATCAGATTTTTCTTTTTTGGAGCATTGGTTTCGGAGTGTGAATCGTGAAGAGTGATCATACTGAAATGGAATAAATTACAACTCTTTATCGACCAAACAATTGCATAATTTAGTTTTATTGGTTACAGAGCATAACATTTCCAAGCACTGCTAAAATACAATGAATGTAAAATGTAAAATGAACATTGCACATCGAGTCATTTTTACAATTTTATGATGATTCACATATCGAAAAATAACTGACATTTATATTGATTCATCATATACGTTACTTGCTGTTGACTTGTTCATCTTAAAGTTTATACTGCCTTTAATTTACTAGAGCATTTCTCATCACAAGAGGGATAAATGAACCTTGCATGATTTCGGACAATTATGATTATAAGCTAGGATATATATTGTACGTAGTATAATATAAATCTGCATTAAAAGCCATTCCTGAATAATTGCATTCTATTGGTATTTTAATTATATAATGTGGATTCCAATCAAAATATGGTGTCTCAAAAGTCATATACTTGATTTTAGTCAAGGGACGCATTAATCTAATGCGATCAAAGCGATTTTCATGTTATTTAACATTGACTGTTCATTTGCATTTATCACTTAGACATCAAAGAGAATCTGACCTGATTGTGATATCTGAATGGAGTATCGTATCTATGTAAAAATCAGGAAATCATTAATTTCATTTGCACTGTAATAAATCCCAAATTCATTGATTTTGTTAAAGTATTTATTATGTGTTAAAGACAGGTTCTAGTACTTGACTTGTATTTGCATTGTATTTATTACATTATTGAAAATTGCATTTTATATTGTAAGTTGAAGAGCACCCCTTTGAATTTAAAGTATCAATTCCAGGTTATCCAGACTGGCATTTCTAGTCTTAATCCTTGCTAATAATCCTGCTCTTAATCCCTGCTAATAATCCAGGTCTTAATCCCTGCTAATAATCCTGGTCTTAATTCCTGCTAATAATCCTGGTCTTTCCATGCTAGTATTCTCACACTAAATCCTGTCTTGAATTCTTTGCAATAGTGCAAAACCAGTCAACAGATTAAAATATATTGATAATTATATGTCATGACCAGATGAGTATTCTTGTCTTGATTGTCCTGATATGCTGACTTCTTTGAAATAGTTGATTCTTGACTCAGAAATATGCCTCTATACAGATATACAGCTTCAGTAATAAAATGTAAAAACACAAAATTATATAGATGCTGAAAATTACTGGACAGTTCAAATTCTTGCTTCATTCTACATTACTGTAGTTTGATATTTCCATATCCATTTATATTTTGACAATATTCATATAACATTGGACTGTCATTTGTCCATGATAATGGGATGGAAGTGATGTTATAAATAGTATCATTTCCATGAAAAGGATTCATTAACATGGTAAAGTAGAGGTTTTTAGCACAAATAATTACAAATAGCAATGATTAATTCCTGTGAGCATGAGATAAAGGGAAATGTCATTATCTTATATGTATTATGTTATTTATAGTATGATCTCTATATGATTTGTACTATGTTGTACATGTGTATGTTCAATCAATTATGCCAGTGTTTTGAGTGTTTTGTTCACTCTGTGTAAGTAAAGTCCTTATATGGTAAATACTCTCAATATACCAATAACCTCATTTTGAAGGGTAATATAGTGAAATATTGGACCAAGGGCCGGTGGTCCAATGTTTCACTTTGTTGCCTACTGAAATGACGTTATTAGCATAATTACCACCATTATTATGACCAGGGCTGAAATAGCAAGAACAGTCTGCCACTAAACGAAAATTATTTGCACTGAACAATATCTTATTTCCCGGGAACATTGCCGGGCTGAAATATCTTTTTTTGGCCCGCCACTATGACGTCACATATTGCTCAGATCAATATTTAGAGGTTATGTCACTATGACGTGAAATATGCCTGAGTTCTCCCAATATAGGCCGACCTTGGGAGGCTCTATATTTGGGCAAGAACGAAGGCATATTTCACGTCATAGTGACATAACTGATGTATTACATGCCTTTGTTCCCATGGTTACTTTGTATCAATGATGTGACGTCATGATATTATCATGGTTATTAAAGAAATCTAATATCAAAACGAGGTAAGCGGGCTATATCGGGGTAATCGGGCAATATCGGTGGATATAGCTCGCTAACTTTCCCATTGACTTCCATACAAATGCTTCGCTAGGTATGTTATACAGTAAAATATAAGCCTTCTAAACGAGTACTAATACCCCCAGAACAGGCCCGGCAAGGTGGTAATAAAATATATGAGAACCAACTTTATATGACTAAAATATGAAATTCTTTAAAATTACCCCACATTGATTCACAAGGTTACAGTTGCTCCAACTTATAACACCTTGGAAGTTGAAGATGAAATTACCCTGAGCGTAGAGGTAGTTAAGACAATTTTACAGTTCACTAGTCCTGCCCCAACTGCTATTGGTCAGACTGGATCATAAGTCAATTCAAACCAATCGCGCTTGCACATTCTCAACCAATCAGAAAGTAACATGCTTAAATATTAGTACAATAACGTCATTTCAAAGGGCAATATAGTGAAATATTGGACCAAGGGCCGCAGGCCCAAGGTCCAATATTTCACTATTTTGCCTGCAGAAATGATGTTATTACTATTATTACCACCGTTAATGCCCAGGGCTGAAATAGCAAATTTGAAATAGAAAATCTTACGCACTGTACGATATCACTTTTCCCGGGAAACATAGCCGGGCGGATAATGTCATTATAGCCCGACTAAAGTCATTAACGCCCGACACAATATTGCTCACGTCAATATAGCAATTTAAATGCCTTCTCAACTAGTACTAAAACCCCTAGAGCAGGCCCTGCAAGGTGGTAATAATGTTGGTTGTTATGGATATTCAGTGACTTCATGGGAAATGACCATATATGGAAAGTCATCTTTCTGGAGATGACAAGCTCTGGCCAATGGCTTCGAACCCTCCTTGGGTTGGCTCAGTGAATTCAAAGTATTCTCTTAAACTGAAAGATTGAAGACAATGCTATCTTTTAAAAAGCTGAGTCAAACGAATGAGAATGATACTTAAAAATCAATACTGAAAGAAAGCATGATTTTGGTCATGGAGAATTATGTAGACTGGCAAAAGCTTGTAGCATTTTCCAAACTTTCTCATGCAACTTAGCACAAAATAGGATTTACTATGTCGAGATGGATTTTATATGTCTACAGACCTTTATTAAATAACATATCAAATTTATAGGCAATATGGTAATGAAAACAAGGAGATGAAGATCAATTGAAACCAAGGCGCCTGTAATCTAAAATCACCTACTCAACAACCTTTAGGTCCTGTTCAGGCAGGACATATTAGTATGCACCTTCATAGGATATTGAAATATGACCTAGATTATAATAAGACATTACACTCATACCTTTACCAAAAGCTTAACTACATCTTGACCATGCAATATAGATAATTCTAGCTTTATCCAATACTATACAATTAAAAATTATGTAGTCATAATATACTGATGTTACATATTTTTGCAATACGTAGATATCATGTTGTTTATGACAGAAAATGTCATGTAAACAGGTCTTACTAGCATCAAAACTAAGATTATTTATATTCAGAGTATAATGGAGCCAAATGGGATTCAGAGTTGTACTCATCAGTTCCAATAAATGATTCATCTTTGTGAGAGCCTGGTCTACAATTACAGATGTGCTCTGTTTGGAATAGAAATACAACTGGTTTGATTTCCCCATATGCTATTATAGGCAAGAATTCTTATGTCGTCTATCCTCTGTGATAATTTTTCATCGCACCACAAGTGGGAGAGCATACAGCTTTGCTGTCATCTGCCATTTTGGATAATTTATTTTCGTATTGTTGTTGATATGTATTGTCATCATGAAAACTGTTTATCAGATTGACTCCAAGTTTGTAAAGATGATTGATGGTACCAAGTTCAAGACTTGATAGCCTTTGAGTTGGCCATCTTGAAACCTGGATGACATTTTTGATTGTTAATGATATTTTTGACCTTTTTATTTTTGAGATTCCAGTGCTCATAGATTGATTTCACCGGGTGGTCATCTTGAGAATCATAGAGTGATAAATTGTTGCATAAATGGTCCATTTGTCTACTAAGAAAAATCATAGTTTCTGTACATGTAAATGTTATTTTCCAGTTGAGTTTTTGAAAAACAACACATTATGTATATTGTGATGAGAATGTTGTCAAGGCAACAAACCTCTAAGAGGGGCAAATTCAGATCTAAGCCTTCGTTATATTGTTCACTTTATAGAAATAAAATCAGTGCAAGTCCAGACAGTGGCAAATACCAACAAAAATATGCTATGATTTTCTTTTTGATTTAGAGATATAATTCATTAGAAATATAGTGCACTTTGTCAACCCTCACTAATGCTAACCTTTTCCCAAAACTAGACAATCTGTTGACATACATGTATATACTTTATTTTTACCAAGGCTACATTACAAAAGCTCAATAGATTTCTGATGAAGTCGATTATATCACCTTCAGAAATGGCAGACATTTTAAATGTCAACAGCTATTTTTGGATGCAATTTCAGGAGTACTATGAGAATCCAGATATATTGTACTAGGGTTTTCCAAAATGCAATTTCCTTAATGTGGATCAAATACTGCATAAATACCCTCCATCTAACTACATATTCTGAATTCGCTTTATTTCCTCTCCAGAATTCATGAATTTGATTTGTTCCAACTGCAATGCCCACAGTAAAAGGATTGATCCATGCAAAAGAAAAACAATCTGAGACCCCTTCATTAGCCAAATTGGGTTTTCATATATTTATTTATTTTAGTGAATTCATGCAAATGCTGATCAAAAAATAATGAAATAAATACAGAATTTACAGCTTTAAATCTCTCACAATTTCTCAAGTGAAATTATAAATCACTGTTGTCTAGGTATTATCTGATTCAGATAACATTGTGAAATATTTCTAGAAAGGAATTGATCTCTTCTAGTGTCTAAAAGAGATGAACCTAAGATGTCACATCCAGAAAATCTAATAATGTGATCAATTATCAACGTAGTTCATGATACACTGAAAAGAATTCTGTACACTGTGTATTATACTGTATATGCAGGCCCGTAGCCAGGGGGGGGTTCGGGCCTGGCCCCCCCTGGCCAAAATTTCTTTCAAAATCATGCAGTTTTTCACCATTCTGACCATTTTTTATATGATTTTTGGCCAAATTTGCCAAAGTGAACCCCCCCCTAGAAATTTTGGGAAAAGTGAACCCCCCCTTGGAAAATTCTGGCTACGGGCCTGATATGTATACAACATGTATATGAGTTCTGCCATTAATAAGTTGCCCATGGCATAGTTAACAACCTAAATATGATGATATTTTCACTTTTCAGTCATTTTGGCTCAATCTCTCTGAATTGAATGTCATGGGATGGTTCCCTTTATGAATGCTTTTACGAACAATAAAGTTGATCTCAACAGAATTGTTATAATAGGTTCTTAAAATATGAATATTTCCATGGGATTTTCAGACCTAGTTGTAGGACATTTGGGAGTTATTATTTAAAAGTTATTAAATTCTTCTATCACTTATTCTGACTTTGAGGCTGAGGCATTTTTGATGATGCATTTTTATAAGTAAGTTCTTGAGTGGCTCATAAAAATGTTTTTATTTATTTAAAACTGGAAAATATTAAATCAATCGATAGTGTCCTTTTACATATGCAGTATTGATAATATTAATAATCTTTAAATGGTCCTTGTTTCAGGTTTAAGCGGGTCTCCAGCAGATGTAGAACACAGAACACGAACATTTGGCTCAAATGTGATACCCCCAAAACCTCCAAAAACATTTCTGCAGTTAGTCTGGGAAGCACTCCAAGATACTACACTCATTATTCTTATCATAGCAGCTATTATATCATTAGGATTATCATTCTACAAACCCTCTGGCGAGTTAGCAGAGCAGGAAGGAGGTACGTATTATTCAGTCTCATAGCTACCATTGAGGCACAATCAGCATAAGGTGGCATGATCATATTCACAATTTCAGCAAAATATTTCATGGGGTTATCATTGATATCATATCAGCAAAATGTTTCAAGGCATAATCAATGTAACAAAATTAGCAAAATGTTTAATGGCGTAATCGATGTCACAATTTAAGCAAAATGTTTCATGGGATTATCATTGTTATAATATCAGCAAAATGTTTCAAGGCATAATCGATGTAACACAATTAGCAAAATATTTAATGGCGTAATCGATGTCACAATTTCAGCAAAATGTTTCATGGGGTAATGAGTGTTATAATATCAGCAAAACGTTTTAAGGCATAATCAGTGTCACAATTTCAGAAATAAATGAAAGCATAAAACAAAAAACACAATGGCACATGTACATATAAGGTATCTTATACAGTATCTGCTTCCCCATCTAAGTTGATCAGAATCCACATGATTCCCTCACTTTTTAGATTCATTTCTTCCTCGCTATGTCAATTGTCTAAATTTCTACTGATGTTGCAATATTTTTGATTGATAACATATGAAATGAAAAAGGTATCAAAATTCAAAAATTGATTAATGATTTTGTTTGTTAGGTATTTTATATATTTGTCCCATGATTCATTGATTCCAAACTCTTTATTCACCTTGAAAATGATTGTATTGTACATATTTATTGATTAATGATTGTTCAAGGCTATCTCCATGTATGACATATATGGTTTATTTTAATGTAAGGTATGTCCTCTTACATACACAGGATAACCCTTTAATCAAAGTAACATGTATCCCACACTCTCTTGATTCAGTAGCTAGAACCATTTATAAACTATCCATATTGAACAAAACACACACAGGAAATCATGTTTTGATATGGTCATCATTGATCATTTTAAAATGCAGTGCGCATTTCCAATAGGCTACCATTTTTCAAGTTTTCACACAAGAAGTGATGTCATCAACTTTATCAATTCTATCGATGAGTAAATTTGTTTTTGCAGGTGACGAAAGTGAAAGTGAGGCTGGATGGATAGAGGGCGTGGCAATCTTAGCAGCTGTCGTACTTGTTGTCTTAGTTACCGCATTCAATGACTATCAGAAAGAAAAACAGTTCCGTGGTCTTCAGAGTAAGATAGAACATGAACACAAATTCTCAGTTATCAGGTATGTGGCCAGATTAAGATCTAGGGGGATTAAGTAGGGATCTAGGCAATGATCAGACGGAGATTTGAGTTTGATCAAGAATGAACCAAGACCAGTTTTGAGTGATCAATTCTTGATCAAGGGGAGGCCATGCAATGCAGGGATCTAGAAAGTGATCAGATTTAGGGAGTGAAAAAGCAGGGATCCAGAGAGATCTGTTGTGTAATCTGACTGGGATCTGGGAATAGATCAGTAAAAGTGAGGGCAAGATCAGTCAGAGATCAAGAAAAATTAATCAGAGATGTAGGACCTTGGAAAGATCTGAAGTACAACAAACCCTCGAATTTTTAAAAAAGAATCTATGAGATATTTCTTGTTGTTTTCTACCAAGTTATTTTCTGTTAATTAGTTCTCAAACCTTTCTAAAATTGTGTGTGAATCACAGCATAGATGTTCCAAATTCCCTCATTAAATATTCCCATATAAACAATGCTATTTAATTCCAGGGCTGGCGATGCCATGAATATACCTGTAGCAGAAATTCTAGTTGGGGATATCTGTCAAGTTAAATATGGTAGGTCAGTTTGGTAATAATGATGATCAGTAAAACCTACTAGACCTATTTGGGAATGCTAAAAAATATATCAGAGTAAATGGAAAATATGCTCAAGATAAAACCAGCCAAAATTCTGAAATATCTAACTTTGATATCCAGATTGAATTTTTATGTTTTAATGTGAAACAAATATTATATGTTGTTGGTAATACATTGTCTCTACCTCTATACACCTTAGAATCCTCAGAATGTAAAAAGGTGGATTCATATCCCTTCTAATTTGCACATGTACAGGGTGTCCCGAAAGTATGGGGCCCCCCCTAGGCAGACATATACCAGTGTCGTCATAGTATGTGTCATATATCATTTTAAAGCTTCTCCAAAGCTACATTGATTCGCCAAGTATCATGGTTCAACTCTCAAATGTGAAAAAATTACAGGCATTTCAAAATTTAGTGTTTGGTCAAAATTAAGTTCAATTTTACACCAAATCAATAGTCAATGTGTCCTCCCGGGCCATTTTAACAGCAGCAATTATTTTCGAGTTGGATGGATATTGAGTTGGAAAAAGAGAACAGTGAGGGTAGAAACTCTAAGGAAACTCTTCTAAAGTTCCTTAACAGGTTTTAAGAGGGTTATAAAATTCCACACCCCTATTTGAAGGGCTTTTAAGGTCATATCTGAAAATAATTGCTGCTGTGAGCATGGCCAGGGGGGGACTCACTGACTAGTGATGTGGTGTAAAATTGAACTTTATTTTGACAAAACACTGACTTTTAAAATGACTGTAACTTTTTCCAATTTGGGAGTTAAACCATGATACTTGGCAAATCAATGTAACTTTGGATAAGCTTTAAAATGATATATGACACATACTATGACGACACTGGTATATGTCTGCCTAGGGGGGGCCCCATACTTTCGGGACACCCTGTATATGTTAAATTCATTTATCTACATTGTGATGACTTCACAAAAATTGCTTTTGTTTTTAGGGGATCTTTTGCCAGCAGATGGCATTCTTATTCAGGCAAACGACCTGAAGGTCGATGAAAGTTCACTCACAGGAGAGTCAGATCATGTCAAGAAGGGTGACGTTAGAGACCCTATGTTATTGTCAGGTAGGTTGTTGTGCACTATATTATACTATATGGCGTCAGATAGTGATTAGAATATACATTCTTTGATATATGAGGCCGATTAGGGGCATCTACAGACATTGGACATTATCAGAAAGACCTTGTGTGTCATATAAAGCTGTGGGCATTCATCTTTGAACTTTTAATAATGTCCAAATGTAATTTTTAGTAATGCGCCTATTAACAGGTTGGTAGACTATCCTTCGGGGAGTATTCCATGATTTAAGATAAGATTACCATCTATGATTTTCTAGGATATTTTTCTCACTCACAATTTAGTAATTTTTAATCTGCATACATGCTTTGGATAACTGTTAAACAAAGTAGACATATTAACTCATTCAGCTTTTGTATGTTACACAATGAATTTTTGACTTAATATTCATTTAGGTTTATTTGTCTCGAATATGCACTGCATGTCTGAGGCTGGGCCCCATTAATGACATGTTAAGTGGGACCTCATGCACACTAAATTTTAACAAGATTGTCATTCAACCCCTTAAAATTGCAAATCATTTATTGTATAAATACACATACATGTATATCAACAGTGCTGCATATATATTCTAAGCTATTAAGAGATTTATAATACATGACAGACATCCACACTCTTATCTTGCCATGACAGACATTATTCCATAAGAGCTCTAATAAATGCTAGTTATTAATAGATACTCCAATTACTATGGAATAATTGTTCATTATTAAACCATGCAATAGAAGCACAGTTTAACGGATAAATCAGAAAAAGCGATGAGTAATCAGATCCCTTATAAAGCACTTCATGGCAATCATATATGAAACAATATATGAAATAATAATTAATAATAAAAATACAATCCTGACACCAGAGAAAGTTGCAGTTTTCTCCAAAAAGTTGCAAAAGTCGCAATGCAAGGAACTCAAAAGTTATGCCAAAAGACAGCTTTATTTGCTTTTTAACTCCATTCACAGTCTTTTTCTCATGTTCTTGTAGAACCTTAAGGCCTGATGATCAGGGGCCAGTCTTTCCAATTGATCACATCTTAAAATAATGTAAATCAGCAGGTTTTAAAGTTGTGGAAAAGCCAGTTGGCCCTATAGCTCAGTGATAGAGCAATCGCCTGGAAAGCGAGGGGTCATGGGTTCGATCCCCACTGGGGTGGACTTACTTTTTCACATCAGCCCTTAGCACAGGATTTCATTCTGTATTTTCATTAACTAGTCATATTTTTCGTAAATTGCACAGATAACATTATATGAGTACTTGCTATGATGTGAATATTGTAACAGTAATGTTGTATAATGATGACCAGTTCTTGGCAAGAATAAAGATAAAAAAAGTATTTATGATTTTGAGTTCTCTTAATTGGAGAATTAAGGATAGATATTGACTAGAAAAACTGGCTGAAGGGTATGGAATGCAGTAAGTTGCACTATTTTTGTAAATTATACGCCCTCTACTATAAAAGCTGCAGGAAGTTGTCACACACAGAGCTCTCCGGCTATTATGCTCTTTCTATGTATGTCCCTTCAAATTAGATTTGTAACCTGTTCCTATATCCTATGGCATTATGAACTGACATTTGTTGATCTGTCACAAAAGCCAAGTTGTTCATTGCGTGGAACACTGCCATAGATAAGCCATAAATGTAATTGAACACAAGCTATATGACATCCTTTTAGCCTGTTATTATATTTCACTCATGTGTGCATGTTTATGCTATCGTGTAGATAGAATTAGAAAGAAATTTTAACATAATTACGCAGTTACAGTATTATGCCATGCTAGATATGACCATTTCGTGGAATTGACATTATTGTCTTAATTTGAATACTCATAATCTGAAATAGTATCCCAGAGTCTAATAAAGAACTGGCCTCATCTAAAGCAACACTTTCATTTAGTACTTAGCCACATATTTTCCAGGGAGTATTCCGAGTGTTTGTAGATTCATAATGCTGGTTACATTGATATGTTTATATCAGGAACTCCTGGAGTCAGAATTCATGGTCTATTTTTACTTATTCTTTTAAAAGTTACTGTGATATTCATAGAATATCATGTGAAAATAAAAGTTGTATTTTGGAAATAGTGGAAAAAGCTGCAATTATGCAGTCATTTTTTACAGAACAAATTCTAGAGGGAGTTAAAGACGCCAGCCGTTCATTTGTTTGTTCGTCTCTCCAGGCGATAACTCGAATACTGGTCGATGTATTAGGTTTAAATTTTTAGAGGTTAATGTTTTATGGCCACTCAAAATAGCCACCATTTTTCTTTAAAAATGTAATCATATAACTCAAATACTAGCAAACAGATTTATGCCGAGTCCTGAGGGGCATTCAAGATCTTTTCCTTTTCATTTTAGAGGAAATAAACAATTTCATCATTGAACCTGTCTGGTGTACTATCATATTTTTGTTTAATTTTTACAAAACCATAGAATAAGGCTTTTAAGCCATGTGATGCGGCATCATATCATATGGTTAATGGATTTTTGCTACTTAACTCAAAACAAGGCTGGAGAGGAACACTTACCAGGCAATAGTTTGGAAAGTTTGATCTTAATCAAAGTACACTATAACTATGAAATAAGAACATTCTTTTTTATCTGCACGAGTAAGCAGAGCAAATATGATATCCATTCCTGGATAAAAATCATATCATGAGTAAATGATAGGATATTCTATGTATATTCAGTGTACTAGACCGTAACCAAAGATACACATCATTGTGTTCTTAAACAAGAAGACCTGCTAATATTTTTATTGAGCACTCCCGGAATCAGAATTCATGGTCCATTGATTTAATCTTAGCAGGAAAAGTATCATCTCATAAGATTCCACTATGTGCGCTTCATTTGCAATTTGTTTTAACGAGTATTCATCCACAATGAATTACACCAGCATGACTGATGTTGTAACAACTTAAACTAATAATAGCAATTTAATAAAACATGTGAAAAGGCATAATGTACGAAACTGCATTATCACAAAATGCATAAAATGTGTAGATTAGGAATGCAATGCAAAACTGCATTTTGCAATAGAACTCAAGATCTGAAGGAAGGGAGGTTTACACTGTTAATATTTATTTATGAGAACTATGGGGCTTAGGCTTTCATAAATCTCAAGTCCAATATGAATAAAATAATCATAAATATGAATGATTATATTGCAATACTCTTGCCATAATGATTCACTCTTTGTCTTGCCTCACTGACATAGATTGGTTTAGAGTTTCTGTAAGTCCTATGTATTAGGAAAATAAGGTCTCTGAATGACATAATTAAACATTACTGTTAAACATTGTTTTCAATTTTTTGCTATAACTGGAAAAGTAGTAGAGTGATTTTATTCATATTTGATATGTGAATAATCATTAGCCCTGTATACTTTGTTTCTTCATATATGTGAGACGACAATCATGAAATCCAATGTCAGTGAATTTCATGCAGAAAAAGAAACCTGCAGAATTTTAGATTTTTTCATTTCATATGCACTTCATATCCGTTTCATTTTCATTTCCAAGTACAAATCTTTGTAAAATTTCAGATCTAATCATAGGTATGTCTTACAGTAGTGCACAAGTTACAATACATTTCAAGGTCAATAAAGTGTATAACTTCCAGAAATAAACTTACCACTTGTCCAACAATGTTAATTTTTGGCACCATATCCATATGGAAATGGTTCGATCTCTGCGTAAAGGGTGATATACATTGACTGTTTTTTACAAAGATTATATGCCCATGTTATAAGTTTATCCTATAGACTGTACATATACTTTATTTTGTTTATTACAGGTACCCATGTTATGGAGGGCAGTGGCAAGATGGTGGTCACTGCAGTTGGAGTCAACTCTCAAGCAGGTATCATATTTACTCTACTCGGGGCAGCTGGTGATGATGTAAAGAAAGACAAGAAAAAAGAACCAGAAGGTTTGTATGAAATATCTTAAGAAGTTGAAATGAATTAATTTTATAGGAGAATTTACACTTAATATTTCACACACAAAAAGTACACATGTGCAATTTCTCCTTTAAAGCTAGTTTCTTCTATTCTCATTTAGATCCTTCTGGTAAAAAATAAATATCCCAGTCTTCAAAATTGTCTTTATTGTTAATGTTTGCTCATTGTCTCAGATAGATTAAACACTTGTAGTACTAAATGCAGTACTAAATATTAAAATATTAATCAGAATGTTAAGACTTTGCTATCATTTTGAAAACTTCATAATTTTTGATCGCTTTACAGTTTAGTTTCATCGTCAACATTGTTCTTTTCCTCATAACTGTTCAATATTTTACATAAACTCATGTTTGAAACAAAATATGCAATTTAGCCTAATGTTGATGGATGATGTTCTCTTTTGTATATTCATGTTAACATGTCATCAATCAGCATCTATTTCCACAAAGGTTGCTTGTTGATTACTCCGCAAAAAGATCACCAAGGTATCCTACACGAGGGAAATATTGAAAGCTCTTCTTGTTATTAAAATATTGCTATCAACTGTAACATAAAATATTGTTAAATGTTTGGAATGGCTCGAAAAACAAGATTTTCTTTGATTTATCAGAGTGCTGTTGGCATTATGTCATCACTAATTATGCCAGGGGGAGTTTGAAGTCTCAAAAGTGTTGATCGAAAACTTTATCCAAGTGTTTGATCATTTGATTTTCTTTACTCGTTATTTTCGTTATAGATGGGAAAAGTGTGAGCGCATCTTAGAGCAATGGGCTTTATATGTATATTTAGATACTTGAATCGCTCGCTATATGTCACTTAAATGTTATATAAAAGGTACATAGACATTTGACAATATAATGTTGAAAGAAGAACATACATTAATTAGAAAAATAACATTGAAAATATTTCATCAGGTTCTCCATTTAAGTCCTAATTTTCTAATGTCTTAGAGCTTGTGTAACGCAAGTAATCCCTCGGATATAGACTAGCATTAGAGAGCTGCTTTGTCTTGCTAAATGCCACCATAAAAGAAGAATTATATCAATTCACCCAAGGTCTCTCAGTTATATAAAAACGCGGCAAGAACTTGAACATTTTCTCAAGAATACAGAAATTGTATGAATGTGATTAAATCTTTTTGAAGCGATTCTGCATTGGATCAATAATCTTGGAATAATGATAGAGAGACTAAAATGTTTTTGACAAGCTCTGATTTATTCAATTGAACTATTAAGTCAATAGTTTTTTCATATTAGTCGTCATCAATATTAGATTGAAATAATCTATCGATAGGCAGAAAATGATTCCGCTATTTGCAATTTTGACCTTTACTGATTTGAAAGCATCGGTATATTTGGGAACATTGACCAATTCACTTTTAAAATCAATTTGTCTAAATGACTTGGAGGGATATTATGTTTTATGTTTTATAGTTGAGATAAAACCATTGACATTTATTCAGAACAAAATTGATGCACTAATACCATACTTAATTGATCAAAGTCCATCATTTTGCAGGAGAGCTTTTCAAATGTATCAAGCTTGGCAAAATATTATTCTTATTTTCTCTTCTGGCAAATTGTTATTTTAACATTGTATATATGGCCTTTAGGATGCTTTACAAGGGGATATTGCTTGAAACAAATTATTTTTCCGTGTATGTGGGATTGAATTACATCCCTAGAAAGCAAGTATGTCTGAACATTATATTCACAGTACCGACGAGCATATTCCAAGATACACATTGATTTTGTGTTATGTGTCAATTTCCAAGGTTTTCTCTTGCTGCAACATAAGTATATGTATTAACTTCATGTTTGCAGTCTAATTCACAGTCTATGGCACATTTGCAAAAAGACAGCCAGTTATAATACATATTCGACCCCTGTAAATAAAAGGAGTGATCTGGTCAAATGAAGTGTTTCTCAAAACAGTTGTGTAAACTCTATTGATAATGAATGTTCAGTGATCTACTGTTCTTTATATGAATACTTTTTATTATTATGTATTTATCTATTTATAAATGCTTTGTGTAGTTAATATATGTCCTTGGTATATAGTGCTTTAAGATGTTATATAAGATTTAAAAGAAATAGACTTGTATATAAGTTCAAACCCAATTTAGTGGTCTCCCCATGGGTTTTTTCGCAACAAGCTGTTCGAATATGTTGGCATGAAATGTTCAACAACACCTGGTTGTTTTAATGCATGGGAGATCACTGCAATCCCAGATTATATGATAATTGTGATTATATTATAATTTTGATAATTAAATGTAGTCATACCATTTCTACACAATTAGTTAGTATTTAGCTATTTATTTCATCAGATACTACAACATTTTGTGAAAATTCTACATTTGTAACATTATTACTGTTTTCTTAACCTTTTGCTGCTCAGGACCAATTATAGCTGCTCCTAGTAAGTGTTTTGTGAATTGTCTTTGAACTATCCACTGAATTAATCTGAATCAAAATTTGGAATGTTTACTTACAGTATCTCATTGAACAGGCTTTGACAGAAGACCATGGTCTTCTAAGAAGGTATACTTAATTCCTATAAGACCTCCTGTCTTTGTATGGAAGTGGATGGCCTTATAGCTTCTGCAAACCTCAGATGTATAAGTCAGATTTCTTCATACTTTTATGAATACCATTTACCAAATTATCCCTCTCAAACATTATTGATCAACAAAAGAAAATTTATGAGTTTTATTTCACTTCATTTTGCCATATAATAAAATGTGAGGAGACGGTAAATGAGATGGTTGTGATATATGGATATCAGGGGCTATTACGATATTGCTCTTTCCGAATCATATTAATCTCCTTGATTGGTCCACTGAGATTTGAATTTGACTAATCAGATTGGACTATTCTACTCCTTGAATATGTAGTCTTGATATCAATTTGGTCAAAAACAAAACTTAAATTTTGGAGTTTCAACATTATCGAGAAAGAGACCCAAACTTCAATAAATGAGACGAACACAAAAATGTTAATACAATTCAAACATTTCAAATCCCAATTCTTTCCCAGTCCTCTCCCTTTCCTATTAGTTATACCCCATTCCTTGTTTAGATGGTGATGGAAATGCTGATGCAGCTAATTATAAACCAACTGGCAATTCGCATAACACAAATGATACCAACACCACCCAGAATTCCAAGGGTGCAGAGGATGGAGAGAACAACCAAGATTCCGAAGAAGATGCTAATAAACCAGCAAAAACTGGGGGACGCAAGGAGAAATCTGTACTCCAGGCCAAACTAACCAAATTGGCTATACAGATCGGCTATGCAGGTACAGTCAGCCTCACTTTGCATTGTATGGTGTTACACTCTTACATTGAATGGTGTTACACTCTTACATTGAATGGTGTTACACTCTTACATTGAATGGTGTTACACTCTTACATTGAATGGTAAGTAGTGTTACACTTTACATGAATAAGAAGTCTCAAGCACTTCCTACATTAGTGTGTCTCACCCTTTACATTGTGTAGCATAGGGTGGTTCTATTGGTAGGATAATGCTCATATAAGATCACTAAAGTCTAACGCACAGTACCAAGTAGTTGATGCTCCTTTAACATTGGTCAATTACCCATTCACCTTATTTTCTTTGGGCTGTGTACCAGACTGGCAGTGTCTTATTTGGAATTGCAATATTCATATTCAATTTACTTCTATGATATTTCCAATTTAACATGGTGAAAGGCAATTCTGTTAGGAACTGTAGTCTTTGATATATCCTAGTAAAGACTGGCTGATGGCTGTAGAATCATAAGGTAAAATCATTTTATTCTCATGCGGACCTGCCAAGCAAGAAAGAACTCCAATGATGAGCTAGATTAATATAGGAGTGCAGCATTGATAAAATTAGTAATCCAATGCTTTGAACAGTTTTAGCGTTGACAGCACACGCTTGCAATTTAATTTCACGAGGCATACAGCATCATGTTAATTGAGTCCTGTAAAAAGACACCCATGTCTGTATAATGATTTTCTATTCCTGATTATTGGTTCCTGGATATGTTGAAACGTTGTAGGGGGGATATTAAGAACATACGATCTTGTTAGAGGCAAACCCTTTTGCAAGATGTAGTGGGCCTGAATTTTAAAGTAAATATTTTGAGTCAAGATAAAAAATATCCAGTGTCAAGTAGTAATATATTTGGCTACAATATGATTGGAGCTATAAAGTTTTGTCCATAAAGATGTAAATGACAATTTCTTATATCTACTATACTGGACTAAAGAATTCTCATGAATTTTTGCATTTATGGTGACATATATAGTCTCTGTGTACTTGGTATCAATACTTAGATAGTCTCTATATGGTGTCATTTTAATCAGTCTTTGATTTGCTGTTACTTTAAAAATTCTCTATTTGGAATCACATTTTAGATATTTTTCATGTGGCATTATTTCAAATAAACGTTATGTTCTCTATGCGGTTTCCCTTATGTGGCATTGTCTATTTGGCGTCACTTTATATAGTCTTCATGACCTTCCTCTGCAGTTCAGACATAGTATTCATATTATCTTGATTGTTACATACAGTAATGGATGTTCTGTTTTGAATAGAACTAGAATGTCAAGAGGGAGATCCTGATAATACCACCCCCTCTCTTTATTTATGGCAACAATAACTAGCGTACAGACCATCAGGGTTGTTCATTAGGGACATGAAACATGATTTAGCATACTGCTTTTGTGAGATATTACAGTGTTATTGAACTCACTGAGACAATCAGAGCATAGTACTCCTCAAAGATAACTCTATATCAAAATAAACTTGTTTATTAATATTCCACATGTCAGGGAACTCACTATATGATGCTATGTATAGAATCTCCATTGGAATTAATTGGAAGTAGATACGTACATGTCTATTATAGATAATAATAATAACCTGGTCTGGTTTATTTCTTTATTTTAAAATATTTTTTCACTTGTTAGGGAACTCACTACACTGTATATAAAAAAAATCCCATAATTAAGCATATAGTTAAACTCCCTTATCCTAAGTCCCATATTTACAAAACCTGGGATGGAACCTGGTAATTATTAGCGTATGAAGAGCTACTATATCTCGTAAGTATTGCCATCTATAGTGCACCATAGAATATAAGTACACACGTACAGCTACCATATTATATAGGCTCCTATCCCCTAGCAGCATACAATAAGTAAGTGATTCAAATTACAATATATTCACTGTGTCTAGTTAATACAAAAGAGACAGAATCTCTACTGAAGGATGGTGATTCCAATGAGAAACCACCAATAGATGGCAATGTTAAGAATCCTGAGAAAAAGTCAGGGAGAAAGCAACACTCAGTACTCCAGAATAAGTTAACAAGGCTGGCTTTGCAGATAGGTCGTGGAGGTAAATTAATTGGAGATTGGAGATTATCCAATGTGAACCAGTTTTGCATGTTTTTTGTAGGCACATTTGTAAAATATAATAGTGGCATAATTCATTGTGGGTAATTAAATACATGAAAAGTGAATCTTTTGAAATTTTAAAATTGAGTATGTACATGTATGCGTCCTGTTTTAAAAAAAACATTATTTTATAATAAGTACAAATGATTCATTTATATTGATAATTTCTCACGCAAATATTATTTTGAAATTAATTGCAGAAATTTTATTTTTGAAGATTGTCTTTTTGTAATCTTTCAGGTACCATAATTGCTGTTCTGACTGTCTTGATTCTCATACTGCGCTTCAGTATTGAAGAGTTTGTCATCGACAAGAAAGTATGGGATAATTTCTATATCAATCACTACGTCAAGTTCTTCATTATTGGTGTGACTGTGTTAGTAGTTGCTGTACCAGAAGGGCTTCCATTGGCTGTTACGCTGTCTCTGGCTTATTCTGTCAGGGTGAGTATAGAATACGATGGGTTTATGCTGAAATTAAGACTGGACAAGAGGAAGGATATTTTACATGTATCAGAATGATTCGGGGGAATAGGAAGGGGAAGGACATTTTACATGTATCAGAACTATTGGGGTGGGGTGGGGCGAGTGGAAGGATATTTCAGGGATGCGCACTAAAATATAGTATTCAAATCATTAGACTGAGGTAAGACACTAGTGTAAATGAGATGACAGGCATTGACAAAAAATCATCTCAAAATCCAAATGTTATCTAATTTGTTTCATATGGTTAACATACATCATGTAGTGTGGTAAATTAATTCTCAGCCTCAATGTTTCAGAAAATGATGCACGATAACAATCTTGTGCGACATTTAGACGCCTGTGAGACTATGGGGAATGCCACGGCCATCTGTTCTGATAAGACGGGAACTCTAACAACCAACAGGATGACAGTGGTACAGAGCTACGTAGGGGGTACGTCTATTTCTCTTTCATACAATTCAGTTAATATTTGAAAAAGTAAAATAGTAGAAATACATCACAATGAAGTTGAATGAGGAAGGCACTGTTAGTGTGATAAACATCTGATTTTTCAGTGACCATAATTTTGCTTGGACGTATGTTAGAATACATCATGGTGGAAGAATGTTCCTAAATCACTTAGTGAATAGATTATGGATAAGTGTATAGTTGATTGAAATTATATTTGTTGTTTAGGTGTACACCATAAGACAACACCAAGGTTTGACAGCCTACCAGGAAGCACAGGTCCTCTTTTGATGAGAGCTATTGCCATCAATAGTGGATACACATCCAGAGTTATGGTAACTACAACTGAATTATTATTAGTACTATATTATTTTATGATTTTCTGTTCAGCAATATTGCTATTATTCCATGTGTTTAATAGGCAGAATACTATGTTACGTGGAATACTATGTACACAGAATACTATGTAGAATATTATGCAGAATTTACTTTTTCCTGCACCCCTAGCCTGAAGAAAATCCATTAGAGAATGAAGAAAATAGAACAATTTTGAAGCTGGGATTTCTTATTCAGAATTTGGGAATTTAGAATTTTTTCGATTATATTCATCATAGCCATTTTAGAACAAGGAAACAGTCATGTATCCATTAATGTCAAAATCCAGGCAATCTACTTGAACCGAAAATAACACACATGTATTTTCTCTGTTTACAGAAGGTTCCTGGAGATGATCTGCCTAAGCAACTAGGGAACAAGACAGAGTGTGCCCTACTCGGCTATGTGATGGACCTGGGAAATAACTATGAGACCATTCGGGAGGAAATGCCTGAGGACAAACTACATAAGGTTGGCCCTTTTTAAATTACATGTATTAGGAATGTGCAACAATCATGTATGTTTTCATATTTTTTATTATTAGGATTATTAGGATGCCTGTCATTGTAAAGGAATCTTTTCATCATTCTCCTTTGATTTTTTGTTAATGAAAATGTAGGTTTGATTTTGAGTGTGATATTCTGAGTTAGTCTTTTAATTCCATGTTAAAATCTGTATATCAATTTCACTTTGAGTGTGAAATTCTGAGTTAGTCTTTTAATTCCATGTGAAAATCTGTATATCAATTTCACTTTGAGTGTGAAATTCTGAGTTAGTCTTTTAATTCCATGTTAAAATCTGTATATCAATTTCACTTTGAGTGTGAAATTCTGAGTTAGTCTTTTAATTCCATGTGAAAATCTGTATATCAATTTCACTTTGATTGTGAAATTCTGAGTTAGTCTTTTAATTCCATGTGAAAATCTGTATATCAATTTCACTTTGATTGTGAAATTCTGAGTTAGTCTTTTAATTCCATGTGAAAATCTGTATATCAATTTCACTTTGATTGTGAAATTCTGAGTTAGTCTTTTAATTCCATGTGAAAATCTGTATATCAATTTCATTTTGAGTGTGAAATTCTGAGTTAGTCTTTTAATTCCATGTGAAAATCTGTATATCAATTTCACTTTGAGTGTGAAATTCTGAGTTAGTCTTTTAATTCCATGTTAAAATCTGTATATCAATTTCACTTTGAGTGTGAAATTCTGAGTTAGTCTTTTAATTCCATGTGAAAATCTGTATATCAATTTCACTTTGATTGTGAAATTCTGAGTTAGTCTTTTAATTCCATGTGAAAATCTGTATATCAATTTCACTTTGATTGTGAAATTCTGAGTTAGTCTTTTAATTCCATGTGAAAATCTGTATATCAATTTCACTTTGATTGTGAAATTCTGATTTAGTCTTTTAATTCCATGTGAAAATCTGTATATTAATTTTATTTTGAGTGTAAAATTCTGTGTTAGTCTTTTAATTCCACATGAAAATCTATACAGCTGTATATCAATTTCATTTTGAGTTTGATAATCTGAGTTAATATGTATGAACTCAAATGTGCAAGTCTTGTGTTTCAATATTTCAGGTCTATACATTCAACTCTGTGCGCAAGTCCATGAGCACTGTTATACCAAAGGAGGGAGGTGGTTTCACTCTCTTCACCAAGGGAGCATCAGAAATTGTCCTAAAAAAGTAAGTTTGATACATTATTTCTTTAGCATACAGTGTTTGATATTAGTACATTGTACTTTAAAACATTAGCATTGTTATTCTTGTGCTATTAGTTTTTGATAACTTCAATACAGTTTATTAGATTTTGTTCAAATTTTGGTAACATGATAGCTTAAATTTTACGAACAGAAGATAATATTACTGCCTTGTTTTTTATTATAAAATGTTTAAAATGATAAGTGATTCAAATGAAATAGAATATGTGTTGTTTTCCGGGATCTGCTTCTGCGGTTTGTTGCTCTTTTTATAATTTATTATAATTTATGCTAATTATTGTCGTAAAAATAGTAAATACTGACTGTTTGCTTTGTTGTAGGTGTGACTTTATAATCGGGGCAGATGGTACAGCCAAGCCTTTTACCGAGCAGCATATAGAGCAAATGGTAGCTAATGTCATTGAGCCTATGGCCAGTGATGGTCTCAGAACCATCTGTGTAGCATACAAAGATTATGTTCAAGGAAATGGGGAGCCTAACCAGGTACAATATACCACAGAACCAGATTGGGAGGATGAGGATAGCATTGTGACTGGTCTCACGTGTCTATGTGTCGTAGGAATCCAGGACCCTGTCAGACCTGAGGTACCACACTCTATCAGACAGTGTCAAAATGCTGGTATCACCGTGCGAATGGTTACAGGCGATAACATCAACACTGCCCGCTCAATTGCTGCCAAGTGTGGGATCCTAGCCCCTGGCAAAGACTTCATTGTCATGGAAGGCAAGGAGTTCAACAAGAGGATACGAGACCAGTCTGGAGAAGTGAGTGCATAAGTACATCACCTTTCTAACTCATTAAATACACATTATTATATTGATATCCTGAAAAACAAGAGACAGTGACTATGAATTAAACTGGGCAATGAATTATTAATTATTCAATCTTACACAGTTTTCAAGATCAAAATTAATGAATTATTATTAGATTCTCACATAATATTCACCTCTTGCTATTTTTTATTCAGATTCAGCAGCATTTAATAGATAAAATCTGGCCAGATCTACGTGTCCTAGCTCGCTCTTCCCCACAGGACAAATATACTTTGGTAAAAGGTAAATAATTTTTTTAGGTGAGATACCTTGCTGTAATACTCTGATACAAGATAAAAACTTTTTCCCCTTGTATATTGCCCTATTTGAAAAACATATTTCAGTTTAATGGAACTAATAATGTACTTTTTCATCTATTATTTGTGTCAAACTTCTGAATTTACCACGATGTACATTATTACAAATATAACTGCTCTTGTGATGTTGTGACAAGAAAATACAATATTATTTTAGGTATAATTGAGAGTAAAATTAGCGCTACAAGAGAAGTTGTAGCTGTCACTGGTGATGGTACCAATGATGGCCCTGCCCTGAAAAAAGCAGACGTTGGTTTTGCCATGGTATGTTTGTCATTTACTTGTACTAAAAATGACAGTCCATCATCTCATTGCATTCTCGTTAATGTTGTAAAATTACCTCTATAAGGTATTTATTTCAACTCTCTCAGTTGCAAAATTACATTTCTAAACATATTTGGCATATTGATGCAATCTGACATTTAAAATTGGTATGATATAAAAATGAAATCATAATACAATATAAGGTATTGTTATGTCATCACTGTGGTGACATATGGTGGTGACATATGGTCTCCAGAATGGTGTTCGGTGGTTGGTGTTCAGTGGTCGGTGTCTGAAACAAACAGCAGGTGGTGACAATTTGCATGTTAATGCCTTGTTTGGTAATTGTTAAACTCAAGTTTTTTCTTTGTTGCATTGTAGGGTATTGCAGGTACAGATGTAGCAAAAGAAGCCTCCGATATTATATTAACAGATGACAATTTCAGTAGTATAGTTAAAGCTGTTATGTGGGGGAGAAACGTCTATGACAGTATAGCCAAATTCTTACAGTTCCAATTAACTGTCAATGTAGTGGCAGTAATCGTTGCATTTCTAGGAGCCTGTTTAATCAAAGTAAGTTCATACAATTAACTCTAGTTAAATATAAGACATTCATGACAAATTAAAAACTCTTTCATGTGAAAGAATTGCTAGAAAGACGTTATTAGAGACATTTATTTTTCTTGAACAAAATATTCTGTGATATATCCTATTGATTTTATATACTTTTTACTGATCCATTGGTTATTGTAGAATCATAAATTCAAAAACTGGACAGAGATTGACAAGGAAGGGGCACAAAAATATATTTTGAAACTCCAACCTATGCTTGCCTGATATATAAAATTGGACCTAATTTTGTAGTTATTGGGGTAACAAAATATATTGTAGGATAATGCATTTTTGTTCAACCTCATGTCCCTCCTTAGTGGGGTAATGCATCTTCATAAAAGCAGTCATAACTCATGCTTTCTATTGCAGGATGTCCCATTAAAGGCTATTCAAATGTTATGGGTAAACCTCATTATGGACACTTTAGCCTCATTAGCTTTAGCAACAGAGAAACCAACTACAGAACTCTTAGAACGTAAACCATATGGCAGAACAAAACCTCTTATTTCACGAACTATGATGAAGAATATTCTAGGGGGAGGAGTTTACCAGCTGATTGTCATATTAGTAATATTATTTGTTGGTAAGTGATGATTAGATATTATACATTACCCAGTACTCTTCCTAGCATTAGAGCAAGCAAGTGCGGCACCCCGCTGAAAGCCTCAAAATTACATGATACTCCATCAAAAATGTGTTTGTGCTCTGTCATAGGGTGAGATATTTTGAAAAAATTAAAGATTAAGATTAGTTTTAAGGTAAAATTAAGATTAAGCAGTCGGTTGAGAGAAAAACCTGTGCAGATTACTGTTACCTGTTTCATTGTTCATGTTTATGGTGAACATCTTTTGTAATTTATTAATGCATTCTCTTTTACATGTAGGCCTAAATTTTTTTTTCTAGGTGAAAACTTCTTTGATATAGACAGTGGACGAAATGCTGGTATCCATGCAAAACCAACAGTCCACTTTACCATAATCTTCAATACGTTTGTCATGATGACGTTATTTAATGAAATTAACGCCAGAAAGATTCATGGGCAGAGGAACATAGCAAGGGGACTCTTTTCTAACCCTATCTTTTTAGTTATCTGGATAGGAACATTTATAGCACAGGTAATGTATATCTATATAATCTACTCCTACTTATATTGGCGCAATTTTAATTTTTCAGGATTTTTGAAAATGTGGCTAAGATTTGATTTGGCTGATTTCAAAAAGATCAAGGAAAAACAAAAGATTTGATTTGGCTAATTTTGGCTATATATAAGAACCAAAGGGAATTTGATTTTTGCCTATTCTGCAAATTTTAGGCAATTTTAAGAGGATAGATAGATATATTTGCAAGTTTGACTGTTTGAAACTAATACCACAGCAATATAATTGACTCTTACATTTTTGAAAAAACAGCAAAATTGAATATCATATTACCAGGTATATCTTCATGTAATATTTTTGAATTCTCATTGTGTGTGTTTCAGGTGATAATTGTTCAACTAGGTAGTTTTGCTCTGTACACTGCTCCGCTCAATTTAGAACAGTGGCTCTGGTGTATATTCTTTGGCGTAGGAACACTTCTCTGGGGACAGGTTAGTAGAATTCTTTGCCTAATATGCAATGATTCATTATTAATTTAGAATATTTCATCCATCTATGTTTTCATTACATAATCTTAGTTATTATAATCATAAAATTGGAAATTTTGATAAAATATTTATTTTTCTATGTTGGAAATTGTCTTTAAAATAAATCTTGAAAGTTTCAATAAGAACGGTTGTTCCATTGCAAATATAGAATAAAAACACGACTGCATCATTCAACCTGTCCGGGGTACTATGTTAGCATATCTTATAATGATTGATTAACTGTTCAATAAATAAATCAAAATTGAAATATTCAAATGGATGCATTAGCTCTAAATACATATTTTTGAAAATGTTTGTTTTCAAAAGTAACTTTTAAATATATTTTTATTTCAGATAATCACTACAATTCCCAACCAAAAGCTTCCAGGTGCACTGTCCTGGGGAGCTAGCACAGCAGAGGAGATCAAAACTATGGATGATGATGATGTAGATGGCGCACCAGATGACGAGATGGCACGTCGTGGTCAAATCTTATGGATCCGTGGTCTGACACGTCTGCAGCACCAGGTAAGTGGATGCAAGAATTTTCCAAAAAAAAATCAATTTTTATTTTCATTTCACATCAAAATATTTGGACATGCGTTTGAAATGATACTCATATATAGTACTAAGTGTACTGCAATATCCAGATTGTAACATTTTTTGACACCTCCAAGAACGATGACATAGTGTTCTAGCCACTGTTTCTTGCGACCAGTTGGCATCTACAACATCTGCTACACTTGTGTAACCATTTGAAAGTTGTGAAATTTTGTTGTGTTAATGCCTTTTTTATATTGCATTTCAAAATGTATATGTTGCATTTCAAAATGTATTTGAAACAAGGATGTAAAACATGTACTATTTTACAATCAGTTTTCATGTCCAAATATTTCCCACATTCACACAGTATGACATATTATTTATTTATCATTGTTAGTGATAGTCTTATCATTTTAACTGATTTACAAATGGGAAAACCCAAATATTAGTATTTAGGATTGTGTTTTTTATTGAATTTTATTTCATCACCAATTATAATCGATTAAAGTCAAAATTATAATTGATTAACCAATCAGTACATTTGTTGAAATGTTCAGCCGATATAGGCTTTTTAAACTACTTCATTGCTCAGTATTTCTTCCATGCATTTTTAAAAGGAATGCTGATATACTTTGGTGCGAGAAATTCTTAGACTAAGAATGAATCTGTATTGTTTTCTCTTATTGAAAATTGTAAGAAAATCCTTTCCAAGGTGGATTTTCTCATTCTACTTTGCAATGAAGTAGTTTATTGAATATTTAAAAAGTTCAGTAGCTGAAGGCTTTCTGGACAACTCATCCCCTGAACAACTCATTCCCTGAACAACTCATTTTCTCAACAGCTCATTCCCTGGACAACTCATCCCCTGAACAATTCATCTCCTGAACAAGTCATCCCTAAACACCTCATCCTATGCACTTCTCATCCATTGATGAGTTAACCAATGGATGGGTTGTCCATTTAGTACTTTTAGGAATAGACTAGGCCAGTAGGCCAGGTGTAGGTAGTGTCATGAATAATTAAGACACCATTTGATTTTCTTAAATAAATAGCCTTTGATGCTATTCTGCATGCTTCATCTTCCAAATGCATTGCTATCCCTCTGGCCAAGTGATAGATATCTGCACCTGGGGAATGCATTCTGCTTCATAATTTATCCCTCTGGCTGAGTGATAGATTTCTGCACTTAAATTATCCCTGTTGGAATCTGGGAGGTAACTGGGTCTATATTTCTAGCTTGGGTTCCTGCATGTTATAAAATCATTATTGCTGAAATAAAAAAACTGCATCGACCTCACCATTTATTCCGTTTGTGCAATATTCAGTATTTTGACAACCAACAGCTTTAATAGAGAGATTTAAAAATCATAGATCATTGCTTGAGAATTAACTGGATGGTACAAAATCCTGAGGTTGTTGTTATAATTCGGTGCAACACAGTTGATTGTAGACTGGTTGTACATATATCACGTTTTGCTGGGGTTCAACTTTCTCAGAAACATTTTAGGAAAAATTCATAATTTCTCATTCAACATTCATTTGAACTTTAGTTTTCATGTACAAGTTTTCCATGTACAATGTACATTAGTAAGTTATATAGCTATTAGTTTTGGATCATCATAGCATTTTCTATACATATTCAGTTTTCTCATTGGAAATGAAGTTATAGAAAAGTATAGACATTAATTACAACATGTAAATAATCTTTGAAGGTGCTGTATAACATTTAACCATGCCTTTGTAGAAAAGTCACCATGGCCAATGAAAATATATGTTTCATAATAAATGAATGATCTACTTTAACTGAAGCAATTTTTCAGTGCCTTTTAAGGGCAAATTTCAGATTATTGAAGCATCTTGGGAGTCAGCGGCTGTTGAATGGATAGATACTGATATAAATGATATGCTTTTATATGATGATATACATGTATATATGGCCACTTTTTCAATTAATCTGCTGTGTACTTTTTAACAATCCCCATTTGAATTCTCATTATTAACAAGGCAGTACATCTAAAATATCATGGTTAGCTCTGCATTTCTTGCCATTCCACTGACATTCATCTTGCATATGATAGATTATTTTATTTTTAAAACAGAATGGCCAGCATGTTGTTTGAATGTCACAATAGATTGTGATATCACCATGCAATGTGAACCATGGTATTTTTCATGGAAGTGTATATCCCATTATATTTGCTTTTAGTTTTCATTCTCATTTAACATAGGGCCAGCAGTCGACTTGTTCAAAGATATTGCTTTGATCTAAATAATGTTCATGCATAAAATCCAAAATACAATAGATTCAGATTATTCACAAACAGAAGTAAAAATACTTTAACATTGAAAATCGATCAGAGTATCGATCAAAATTATAAATAAATGAATAAATAAAAAAAATAAAAATTAACTTTCTTTATTTTAAATGGACTTAATTTTTTAAGTTCTTTTTATTATTTCTCTAAAATACTAATATTTCAAAATTATTTTTTGTATCTCTATTCATACATTTTATTTTTGTATGTTGTCTCTTAAAATTTCAATTTTTATTATATTTTAAGAAACTGGTCAGAACTGTTGTAATAACTTTCAATTTTTCTTTAAAAAAAATTATTCCATCTGTATCTATATTATCAGTTTCACTTATGTGTTTTAATTATGAACATTGTTTATATCATAATATCAGGAACTATGTGTGATAACTCCAATCGAGTGAAGTGATATAACATCATTTTGTCTTTGACATCTGCTTGCAATGGAATAGCTGGTTTTCACAACAAGTCTATTACAACACTGTATATCTTCTTAAAACTTCAATGTTTAAACCAAAAACCCATGCATTGACAAAAAGATGTGAATATTCCTAGAAGTGCTGTACGAACATTAGAAAAATATGACTTGTTGTGGAACCCCCTTAACGTCTGCTTGTATTTCTGTTGCCAGTTGCGAGTAGTACGGGCATTCCGAAGCACTTTGGAGGACCTCGAGGAAAAACGCTCTGTGCACAGTTTTCACAGTCTTCATAGCATACGCAGCTCTCGTAGTCACACCGGCCACCCTCGTCCCTTGTGTGAGGAATTAAATACAAGTGATTATAAAACACCGAGTCCCCCGGGACAAAATGGGTCTTCATTATTGACCCCTGGTGATGTGCCTGGGCACATCCCAACCAGTATAAGCATAGATAATGCCCCTCTTGTGGATAAACAGAATAGTCCGTTATCTGGGATTGATAATGTACAAATTAGTTCTAAGACAACACCAACAAGGACTCGTAGTGCGTCAGATGTGCACGAGACTTCTATCTAGCTCCTCAGACGTTTAATAAACATAGTTGTACATATTCCACTACATAAAAAACACATTATATACGTACACTCTATATATAGATATATACAGCTGAATATTGTTTATAGTCTGTAAATAGTACTGATGGCAAACTGAACAGATACTATTGAGTATTAAGAATGTGCACAGTAACTCCTGTAGATTTTTACACATGTAATACCAAAAGTGCAGTAATATGGTGAAGTCCAATCCAAGATGGCCACTAGTCATGCAAAAAATTTCCAGAAGAGGGAGCCAGGAGAAGAATAGAAATATAGTAAATGATCTGTGTTGTTTGTGTTTGTAAATACAAGTGTCATCACATTAATTGTTTATATATTGTGAATCATTAAAAATGAAGATCAAAATTAGTGCCCTCAGTCAGAATTCAAGGACAACTTACTTGAGTGCTTAGCTAACCTCAAACAATGAATTCCTAATCCGTTTTTGGTTGTTGAACAATTTTAAAAACTTTGCCAGTGCTTTAGATGGTTTCATTTTGTTCATATTTAGCTCCCACTAACTGATTAATGATTTGACTTTTACTTTCATACTCACTGGTGATCCGCTCGATTACGCTGGTTACCGAAACGGTTCGTTTTGGTAACAAAATGTCGGAACGTCGAAGGTACGATTTTTCATTTTTCCTTATTCCACGCGTTGTAGGCAGAATCCCCACGACGTTTTTTCTCACAAACGTATATCAGCATCATATGTTTTGGAAAATGTACATGTTTGCGAAAAAATAGCTCATAAGAAATCAAAATCGTCGATTTAATCCCTCACTTAAGTTACATAAACGGTTTGGGTTAAAAGTGGAGATCTTAACTGTTTTTCGAAAAACCGTTTATGTAACTTAAGTGAGGAATTAAATCGACGATTCTGTTGTCTTCTGAACCATTTGTTTGCAAATATGTACATTTTCTTAAACATAATATGATACTGATAAACGTTTGTGTTAAAAATGTCGTGGCAATTCTGCCTACACGTGTGGAATAAGGAAAAAAGAAAAATCGTACCTTCGATGTCCCGACATTTTGTTACCAAAACGAACCGTTTCGGTCACCAGCGTAATCGAGTGGATCACCAGTGATACTCTTCATGTAGTCTCATGTACTTATATAGTTTGTGAGTATTTCATGAAAAGTTGTAGAACACCAAGATTGTCTGTACTGTCTTTCAACCTGTGCTATTAATTAGCTTGTTCTTTGGCCATATAATGTATGTGTATTAGAATACTGTGTATGTTTGGTTGATTAATAGCATAACCTGCATGGCTGAAAATGTTATAATCCAGCATGAGCCTTGCAGATTTTATTAATGCCAATATATTCTATGGCATAATTGGCATGATGCACAAGAACTTGTTACATTATGATAGATCATTGGTTCTCTTGAAAGCCCATGGACATTGGTTAGATCGTATTATGTTGATTATAATCTGATTCAATCCCACATATTGTCTCATCACTGGTGCGTTATTAGAAAGATGCATATCAGTCTATATACTGACATAGCACTACTTAATTTATTTGAAACTCAACATTTCAAGATTATCATCTCCTCGGCTATACCAGTATACAGTATTATTTATTTTTATGAACAGTATTTACAAAACATGCCCTGACCAAAGCAAAAGTTATCATATTATTGGTGAATGGGAGGCTGTATTATTGAACGATATGTTTTATTGTTAAATGGTAGTTTGAATGGTATCACTGAATGATAGACTCTATTACTGATTACTTGACAATATTCTTGAATGGCAAACTCTATTGTTGGCCAGATATTTATTTGCCTCTTGTTGTTATAGTAACTAGTTATGATTGTATTGTAGCAAAATGTGGTAGTTTGACAGGATGGTGCAGTTTTTGGATCGGGTTTAACCTGTTTCATGAAAAACTATTTGAGAATTTGTGATTTTGAGAATTTGTGGAGATGTGACCACGATCAAATATGAAGGAAATGAAAATGCATGATAAGTGTATGCACTATGCATGAATGTTGATTTTATTGCTGAACTCCCAAAATGCATGTTTATCCAACATCATGTATACTAACCACTAACTGTTTAAACCCCAAGATTCTGCGCATTTGGAGTTGTTGTACTTGTATAAATTTTCACTCATTAACTTTTCTATTTCTCTTCAGATCTCTATATCTAAATGCAGACTCTGCTTTCTCTTTTCAGTTATTGCTTATATCATATATTTTAATTTTTGAAACCCAGAATGTAGCCATAACAATCATATAGCTAATGTTGAACCTCTGTTAGGTTCGAAATACATTTTGATGCCGAATATTTCAATAGTTTGAATGATGTGTGTGTTGAAGTCAGCAATGCAATGCAATATTTTGATTCTAGAGGCAAGGTTATTATTGGCTCATTTTGATTTTTCTTTACACTCTACATTCTAAATTGTTGTTTGATCTACACCGATATACACATGATGGCTATAACTATTCACCAACATACCGAGATCTTTGGATCTGTGGTAACAGTTAATAGTTAAATCCATTGGAAAGCTTTTGTAATACAATATATTTATATATTAACTTTATTAACTCTTGCTTCTCTCACATCAGTATAGATATTTGCTTAACAGAAATTCACCTTACTAAGTTACTATGTCTAAATTATTTGTTATTTTCTTTACACCAACTTATTCTGTGACGCTCTGAAATAACTTCAGTTAATGCCATAGCTTATTAATAGGTGGCAATGTGCAGCCTAGTGATCTATGTGCGTCCAATACCTTTGCAGTGTTGACGTGTGTTCATGTGGCCTTTTTTCCATTTTGTTTTTTCCAGATCCGTGTAGTTAATGCTTTTCGCATGGGTGTTGATTCACTTGATAGTTATGAAAATCGGAGTCTGTCCTCGCTCAGTCATAGCCAGCACTCTCTCCAGACCCTCCGCCAGCAAGCACTCAAGAAGTCCGGCTCACTTGATATATTGCGCAGTACAAGTGGGGGCGGTGGCGCAGAAACTAATGCCATTTAAATTAACTCACATGCTAAATGCGCAAATTATGGCGTGTGCTGCCAATTAACTGGATGTTATTGTGGTGTTACTTTACATTCTGACAAGTTGACATTGTTTTTATATAACGTACAGTTCGCATGGTCAGGATTATTTACCTCATCAGTATATCCATTCCTAATTTTCCTCCCTTTGGATCTCTAGTGTTTTGGGTAAAGTAAGATCACAATGACATCCACGTTATGAGGTCAGCTCCTAGTTGATATATATTATTTCATCGTTAAAAGATTGAAATCTTAATTGGAGTGGCTTTGGCTTTTATTGACTTTTGAATCTTGCATTAGAGACATCAGTAGAAAGGATTACCCTTACAAATAACATCACTGTGTAAGTATGGCCCTTACAACTGATTCCAGGGTGAATGTTGAGCATTGTAATTTTCCAAACAAGTATATTTATATTTTGGTTTATTTAAGGTTTTAAATGATGTTTTTCATCTGCACAGATGTGTTATGCATCAAAACCTGCTTTGCATAATCAATATTTTTTGTTCTGGCATATATTGTATGATAAGTTTGTTGCATTATGGGATATTATGATTTGTTATCAAGCTGCATTATGGATATTTAGATTAAAACAAAGTGGATGCTACAGCCAGTAATAAATGAAGACTTGTTCTTTACAGTTATTTATATATGATGATAAAATCAAAAGTATTCTACGTGAATAATAATTAACAAAAGTAACTATAGTACTAACTCTTCAAAGCTATAAAAAACATGTAACATGTGGCAACAGTAGATTAACACCTCTTGAAAGACTTAACTGTAATCTGAATATGTTCAGTCCCATTTTTTGATATCACATTTGATATATGGTATCAGAACCTTAATAGCCAGTCTCTTCAGTGTTTCATTTAACCAGGTTTAACTATATTCAACTCTCAGCTCTGTTAAATGTTAAATCCAGAGAGTTGAATTCATGCAAGAAGAGAGATCTTTCAATATGCCCAATGTCAAGAGAAATCCACTTAAGTAGGAGGCCATGTCAAATATCAATTTTATGAAGCTGAAGCCTCCCCAGGATTCTCCCCAGGATTCCTTTTCAAATTTTGTCCAAAATACCTCAATATTTTAACTTTTAACAGGGTATTACCAGAGTTTTAACAGGGTGGCATGCATTGTTTTTTTCCTTTTATGAAATCTTGCTATTTACCTCCCCATTGGATAAAAATGACACTTTGATATTTCACCTGGCCTCTTACTTAATTAGGAATTCTCAAGCTAGATAGAAGTTGTACATAACAGAATAACCCATGATAAGTTTGTGAGCATATATACACTTTTTAACTTTTCATACACATTTATCATAAGATGTACAATATTTGTATGTTACCATTATACTCAAAATTTCATCTAAAAATCATGAGGCTTGCCCTCACATCACAAAATATTAGCATAGGGCTATTACATTTCTCACTCAAGAAGGTCTTTTTAATTGAGCTTTGCACACCTTCCTTTGTGAAGTGTGGTAAACACAGTCCATATTTAATTTATAAAAAATAGATGAAATCCAGTGAGTCTACTCGACTGTCTAAGCAATCACTCAGTTAAGTTGTGGAGTTGATAAAAGAGAGATTCAATAGGTGAACTACCTGTGTATATGTATGTTATAATGTTATATAGAAGTAAATGTGTGTAAAATATTCAATTTTGTTATCTATGTGATGACATAATATTGTGTGGATTAATAGTTAGGATAGATTTACACCAAGAGAATAGAATGCCCCTTGTTCATGGGAATGGGGCCCATGTAGGAAGCAAGATAATGTCATAGAGAAATGAGACCCTATAAATGATAAACGAAATGCATTGCAAAATCATGCAATCCAAACGCACAATGTCTTGAATCCATATTCTTCATAAGTATTGCTAAATGCTATGACATTATTTCATGATAAGAGATTACCAAGTGAAATAGATATAACATCCTCACAATTACCGTATATTGCATGATTTCCCAATGTACTTCAATAAATGTTTTAACGGATAGGGTTAGACAGAGTCTTCATCATTGCACAGAGTTGTTCATTAATATACACTTATTTGATGTGTACTATCTGATTTGCTAGCATTATATAAATATCCAACTTCTGTTGTTGCAGAAAACATGTTCTCAGTGAAAGAAAATACTCCTACATTCGAAATAGTGATATACTTCATATTATGATGTTTTTACGGTGGGTTCCACGTTAAAATGCTTCAACATTTGAAGATTTTATACAAAACTATTTAATGGACAGTAATGGAATTATTGTGTGTACCCACCCGTCACTTTTCCGAGGGAGACTAGATGTAGAAGTGGCTTAAATATGATAAAAGATGAATCTTGAATTAAGTAAAAAATAACAAACTATATGTTAGTATTACATAACACTATCTTATCTTACTATATTGTAAATGGCTGCTATGAAAATGTGTTAAATAGTGTTACTCTGCTCCATATACAGCATTTTTAGTAGTTTAAACAAGCTCCTTTAAGCGCATTGTTGTACATAACATTCAAGAGTCATTGTAGAACAAACATCATGATACCTTAAAATAGCAGTCATATTTAGTTATTTTTTACTAATTTCTTTGTGTACATTTAAATCTGTCTTTACAGTTGTTTTTATGAATAAAGTTTTTAACATGAGCAATACAAAGAGCAAAAATGTTTCTGTTTTTGTGTATTTGTTGAGATAGAATGCGGATGTCCCTATATGTGCCACCATATATATTGATTATTTTTCAGCTCAATATACTAAATAATACACTTATCCACCCCTCACACTACTGCACGCTATAAAGGACATGAATGCTGTGCCAATGTATGACATAAAAATCACAGACATTCTACAGATAAATGGCACACACATCCTATAATTAGTGCTCATATCAAATACATTTATCTGTTTTTGTCTCTGTGGTATAAGTGGTAAAATTGGAACAGTATAAATGGCCTTGTATATGTATCCTAAGTGATACCGCCCTATTATTTATTTATCTATGCTATCCCTTCTATTTTAGCTCCACCTATTGGCTGGTTGTCTGCACTGGAAAGGTGGCACTGTTTTCTTGTGTCACAGTGACAATGATTTCACATAAGCCTTGCAAATACTCGTGCTTTATCTCTCATTTTCGATGGATGTCTTGGTTAAAATCATCATGTAATCGCAAAATATTTACATACTACATCTTTTTATTTCAACATCATGGAATGAATTTGGGAGTAGAGTATGGCAAGTATCTTGCAAGGGCTTGGTTTGTGTCACTAGAACTGTTGCTTGTTTGCCTCACAAACTACTGCTACTGGACATCTCCCACCTACCTTATTCTCTGATCGGGGACACTCAATGCCTTTATATAGATAATTGCTTTATAAAAATAGATAAGCCTTATTTTGAGATTTGGGATAGAACAATGGAACCAGAAAGAACACTTCATCACTTGTAAGGTTTTTTGTTTGAATGTGAATTAAGAGCAGCCTAAGCTTGGTGTTCTATAGCAGCAGCAGTAGTGTTGTATGGACAAGTATGTTGTAGTTCAATATGGTGATAATTATTGTAATGCACACTTCTTATCTTTATTTTACTGTATTCTTACGTGGTGTATTTTTATTTTTGCAGATACGTGTCGTAAATGCCTTTCACGAAGGTGTAGATAGTGCTCCCGTCACACCCTCCCCCATGTCCGCCAGTGCTGCTAATCCGCTTGCTAATCGAATGCTACTGGCTAAAGCAATTGCTGCCGCTAAGGCTGAACGAGCTGCGGCGGGAGCAGCTGGTCCCACTGACCGTAAGGAAAGCCTCCAGGGGGGCACACAGGGGGCAACTAAAGGGAAGGAGGGTGAAACTGCCGTTTAAAGACTTAAATGTGTAAATGATATACCCCCTATAGGTGCCTCCCTCTATAGGGTCAGGCTTATGGGTGGAGTATGGCACATTACCTCAGTCAAACAACATACAGCCAACTCATAATTCCCATCAGAGCAGCCAAGTGTAATCTTCTAGTTTAAACATACCCCCAATCTCTTAAGAGCAAATGAAGTTAAGTTCTGTCTTCTTCTCAAACAAGTTCTGCACACCCATAAGTAAAAATTAAAGTGTTGTATTACCTTGTAGAATAGATTGAACTAAATAAGTGCTTCTTAATAGTTAAGAAAATTAGAACCTCCAAAAATGAGATGAAATCACAATTCTATTTAAATGCATTTTTCTCTCAGTAGCTTTTAAACTAATGACCAGTTAGGTATAGTGTCAAGGTACACTTATTAAGATGTTACAGCACAAAAATGTGCACTTGAAAATACAATAATGCACTTGAGTGCACTTAGAACAGTTGTGCACTTGTGACAATTAGATACACCTCATCCAAGTATATTTAAATTTTCCCATTATCATATTATTCCTAGTAACATTATCATGGGCGTAAATTGGACAAAATGATTGGAATTACAGAGGAGTTTATTCCTGCTAGAAAATTCAATAAATGGGCTAGATTTATTTTTTCATTAGAAAATGCTAAAGATATAGGAGCAACTTGAATCTACATAGCCTGTAATAAATACTTATAGGTTAGGTCATTAACACAAAATGTATTAAGTTGCTGTTTTTTAAATGAGCTACAAAATGTCATCAAAAAATAATCAAAATAATATAGTAAGTGGAGTCGGGAGAACATGTATGTGGAGTATTCCCCAACTCTACACACAATTTATCGGTTAACTTTCTCACGAGAGAATGATCTTGCCGATTTGTTGAATTTTCTAGCAGAGATTGACTCCTCTTCAACTCCACTCATTTTGTCCGATTTACGGCCGTGTTTATTATATAAAGTGAAACATTTATTATACTTGAAGTTATATATATTGTGAATATATACATATACTATGGAGCAATGTAAAGTTTTCTACTCTTAAATTAAATGTAATTATTAACATTAAAGGTTGAAAGATATATATCTTGTATATTAAACTCACTG